CCGACTCTTGTACCTGACGCAATCACATGCGTTTTGTTCCAGATGACGCAAGACGACCGCGAGTACTCCACACTCATACCACGGTCTGCAAGCTTGCTAACGGATAGAAATCTTCTGTCGAGTCCGGGAATGTGCAGAACTTCCACCATGCGAATGTCCTTTCCGTCCAATCCAGTTAGTTTTACCGTGCCAGCGTCTTCAACGAGCAACTTCTTCCCATCTGAAATCGTAACTTCAATGCTAACTTCTAGGCCCTTGTAATCAAACAAGTCCTTTCTGTGTGAGGTCATGTGGCCGGGCAGTTCCGCTTCCTGCGCCCAAACTGGACATAGTTAAAACACTTGCCCCTGAATCCGCCGTTATTGCGTGGAGGACCACCTTTGAAATTCTAGCGTTTCCGTTTACGCGAAACACTTTTTCCGTAGATTCCCTCCTTTGCAGCATCTCTTATTCCTTGAGCAGCTTCTCCTTTACTCAACGTGATGTCCTTCGCATTCTTTGACGAAATCAAGTCATACTCTGATAGCAGACTGCTGAGAAGAACCCCCAGTTGACGTGACTCATCAACTGGCTCTTCCGTAGTCTGGAGTCCCACTACCAGCTCATCAAAAAAATCAAGATGCTCCGCCATGCTTGTCCCACTTTCCATCTTGAACTCGTGCAGTTGACTGGTCATCACCACACGGTTGTGAAGAGTTGAGAAATTGTAAAAATTGCGGATGGTTGTCCATGCTTCCATGGCGCGCGTAGCCAACCGAATTTTGTTCTGTTGCTGGATCTTAACGCCTTGAGCGATGATGCCGAGCGACTTGGCATCATTTACTAGTCAGGTCTTCGTGACGTCACTATCTTCCTTGACGGCCACGATGTGCCCCAGAAGACCCTTCTGCGCCAGGGTCATCCTCATGTTGAACTCCCAGTGTAGTAGTTACCACTCCCTAGGAGGACTTCGGTTCGCTTGTTGGTCATGCTGGATAAGGCCGTTGCTTGTAGAGAAAGGCTTGGTGCGGCTGTTAACATGTTAGGTAGAAGATAAAAACCATAGCGGATGTATTGAGGTCCTTAGTTCGCTACTCTGTGCTACCTCTAAGTCTGTCTTTTTAGATCCTTCTAGAAGCTTCTATAAGCATCCTGATTTATCTAGACCAATGAACTTCAACCATTATGTAATTACTTACTGTGACGTGCTCGTAAATATGGTGACGTCATCTGCC